TCCTAAGCATATTTATAGTAGTACCCTTAAGGAACTCAAACAATATTTTAATCTGTCTCTTTAAAAGAGGACCTCTGAATCAATTAAAGAAAAACCGAAAACTTTTCACGCCTATTGATTTAATCTCATCCATCCTTATTGTAACAGAATCAGGTTCTTTGATATTAATCATTCCCATTACAAAAAAAAAAAAAAAAATCTGAGTAGCGGCATGAATAAATGAATAAGCAGCAAATGATTTAATCTATCACTCAAATTTTATACTTTTATTGTTGAATGGTCCAAAAAATGGGGTTTAGAAATTAGCCATTGATGATTAAAAAGCATAAATCTCCCCCAGCGTATTTATAGTAGCAAACTTGAGGAACTCAAACAGTGTATTGGTTTAATGCAAATTTTTTGGCTCTTTTCAAGAAATTCAACAAACGCGTAATTATTCTACATTGTTGCTAAGAAAAAATCTGTTACCTGCTCAACATTTCAACTTTTTGCCAGGGGATCCCATTCTTGCTCAAACGCTCAAACTTCCTTTTTTTGCCAGGGTATCGGGCAATACCATAAAAAGGAACTTTGAGCAACTTCCTTTTCCGCCGATACCATGGAAAGGAACTTTGGTATCGGATTTGAGCAACTTCCCTTTTTTGCCGATACCATAAAAACTGCTCAGGGTATCGGATTTGAGCAACTTCCCTTTTTGCCGATACCATAAAAACTGCTCAGGGTGGGTATCGGATCTTTTTGCCCAGGGTATCCGATACATGAATTTCTTGAAAAGAGACAAAATATGCATGGTCTATCGATTTGGATAAGCTTTATTCCAAAAGAACCCTTTCACGAAAGTTGGTTTATTCCAAAAGAAGGGCTAGATTTCGTGAAAGGTTTATTGAAAAAAGGTTGGTTTATTCCAAAGGTTGGTACTACCTGCAATTGCAATGGGTTTAACAATTGCAGGTAGCACCCTTTGGGAGAGGAGCATGCAAAAGTTTTGACAGACTTAGGAGCTCTTTTAACTGAACTAGAAAGCATGCATCCATTATATATCTTCCTCTCAAAACAATTTTCCAAATTTTTCCAAGTGCACTCGAAATTTGTGGGGCATCTGTGGATGGAGATTTAACATAAATTAAAAGAAATTAAAAGAATTAGGTTCAGGATTAGATGGTTTAATTGGGTTGTGTTTTCCGTCATAGCCACAATAACGTGACCTATTATATGGATTAAGACAGAAGATTTTCACTATTTAACCGCATGAACATCTACTGTATAAAGTAACTTTCTTGAACCAAATATAAAGTAAAATAATGTAGTCAACTGATAATGAAGCTCAATCAGTGAACTACAGAAAATAAACAAAGTAAGCAAAATGTAAAAGGGTAGACAAGACAGAGTAAAAGCATTTCACAAGGATTTACCATCATTGATGGAGTTGAATCCTTCTACACAAAGTTTCTTGAGATCACGAGAAGTTTCTGCTGGATCTTGCTTGTCTTTTGGTTACGCAATGTCTAATTATTTGTGCAAATTAGTAACATCAATTGTCCACATGATGAGTAAAGATGCATCGGGAGGAAATTGGATCAAGACCTTGACAAGGCAAGGTTGGATTATATAATTTTATGAGTAAATCTTGTATACATTGACAATGTATACACTATCACCGTTAAATCCATGGCATATGTTTAAAAGTTGAATTTTAAATTCAAATTTTGTATATTTATAATTCATCCAACGCTGACAATGTATACACTATCAATGTAGGAAAAATTAATCATATTTTTTATTACCTAATTGCTACTTGGAAATAAACATAGGATACTTCATTATTTGATGTGGGAGGAGGGTTGGGTTGCTTGGTAAGATGGAAGGAATTGTAAGTAGGAAGTTTTAGGTTCAAGACCACTAAACCTACTTTATTTCAAAAAAAAAAAAGGCACACCGCAAGTGTAGCAATAATATTGCCATTAAAATTACAAACAAGAAAATAAATTCAACTTGAACATATGCTTCAAATCAAGATTTATACCTTCCGATGCAGGAAAGATAGCAACTCTTAGTTCTTTCTCATACCCCAAATGACACAAATTGGTAAAAGTGAATGGTTAATGGAAAACTGATCCACTGAGAAAGAATGGCCAAACGTTTTAAATTTGGGGCCATTTCATAATATTCGTATTTTTTCGTTTCTGTTCTTTTATATAAATAGAACGAAACAGATGTTCTTTTTTATGGGTAAAACAAAACATGAACATGTTTCTTTTGTAATATCATTTGAAATATAAGATTGATAAGTTGCAATTTTATTATTTATTTTATTATTAATTTTCCCTATTACCTGACTCGATGTGTATTAATTGCTGAATTCTACTCACTTTTAGTATTTGACATTTATTTTAGGGAGTAGAACAAAAATATGATAACAAGTACCAATTTAACAGAGAAAGAGTGCAAGTAGCAGCGCTTGTCCCAGGGGCAATTTTGGAAAAAAAAAATCTTTGACCCTTTCTTTTGGGCATCGTCTGCAAAGGAGGGACGACAGGGGCCTGGAGTCCTTTCTCTCCTTGGGGGCCACCGCACAAAGTTACGGAGCTAGTACTTAGAAGAATATATAGAATGGAAGATGCAGAGAACAAGCACGACGGAGGGAGCTTTTGACTTTACTTCTTCATTTGAGTGGGGGCCTCTGAGTAGTTTTCTTTCTTCCCTCGTGGATGTTAGGAGAGGCAAAATAATTAAGTACTTCCTGTAGCCTTTCTTTTTAGTCAGTATTCCATCGAATTAAGTTTACTCATTCTCCAATTGATGGCCGCGGTTTTCTCTTCCATTTTGCGTGGATTTTGTTCATCAAATATAAACTAGTTTCCTCACTCTAGTCAAGAAACAATGGGTGTTTTGGATCGCCTAAAAAATTGTGAGATCGATTTAATTTAATCTTTTTTTATTTATTTATTGGTATTCGCATATTTCTTGATTGCTATGCTTATGGTTATTTAATTAATTGATTATCTTAGATGCGAATAATTAGTTAATTTGGTAATCTATTGTCAATTAAGGCATTTAAATCCGTAATTGTTTAATTGTCTTGAAATAGTGACAACTGGCATAATTAGATTTATGCCAGAGGAATATGCGGGCTAACCTAAAATAACCTTGGTAGTGCGTTATTTGGTTAGAATAGGGCTCCTCTAGTACATAAGGCGATTGGGGGATTAAATCTTACGGGCGTACCTAGGATTATTTCTCAATTAGAGCAGTGATTAACGGGCGTACCTTAATCATCGACACCGTAAGGAAGGGTTGACTGTTGTCGCTTGTTTGGCAGTTATAACCTATTTATTAGTAAATAATTGAAATTGCCTTTGTTTCAATGATCAATTAGGTGAACCATTGCTGAAGCTATTTCTTGGCTAGATCGTTAGTTATCATTCATTTGACTTTAGTAAATTGTTATTTAATTTTTGGTAGTTTCTTGGATTTTATTTGCATTTATTTGATTGTCACCTTCTACACAAAAGCACCCCCTAGTTACTGTGAATTTAAAAAGAAACAGTTACACCCAATCCCTGTGGATTCGACCCTGCTTACCACTATTTACAAAAATTAACTTTAGTTGAGTAGGTTTTTATTATTGCACAGGCCCGACACCTGTCAAAGAAAGATAAACATATTTAGTCGGATGTTTTCTTTTATACCTTTTAAAATAAAATAATGATTTACTCTCACAAATTAACAGACCAACAAATTTTCTTCAATTGCATAACTTTTCAAGGAACCATTTTTTTCCTGTCATAAATCTATTAAATAAGGTTTACTTACAAATTTGCTTAAGAAATCCTAGCTTTACTTGATTTGATCAAAGGTCACTAAATTGATGCAAGAATTTTTTGAAAATTAGATATAGTTTAAAGACTTTAATATAATTCAGCTGAAGTCATTAATTATATGATGTCTCTACTTTAATTGACAAAAAAAAAAGGATTTTTTCCCCTCTTTAGATTGTCCTACATAGATTTTTTTCATTTTTACCCCTCTTAAGCCAGTTCATATCTGTCACATGCATTGCTTTCCGGCTTAATGCTGGATTTTCATGCAATAACCAAAAGGTTATTTTTTTTTAGTTAAATGACCATTTTGAATGAAAAAAAATAAAAAAGGGATACGAAAAGAGAGTGCTAAATGCTATAGTTACATTTCATGCCATTTGCTTTAAATAATACTAGGGCTTTCCAAAATGCCAATAAATAAATGTTTAATACGAGGTCTTTCAAGATTAATATGTCACCAACCACACATAAATTACTTTCTAAAGTAGGGAAAATGGCAATTCTGATCCCTTATCTTTGAGGTCTTGGCCAATTTAGTCTCTTATCTATCACTACGATCATTTTAGTCCCTTATCTTTAAAAAAAAAAAAAAAAAAAATCAATCTTGGATGTTTGATGGAAAATTAAAAATTTCTAATGGAGTTGGACACGTCAATACTTGTGCATTTTTAAAAATGACCGTTTTCATCCATTATCTTTAAAGTTGTATCAAATTTTATTCTTTCAGCAACTTTGAACCCCCGTCCTCACAAAACAAAGTCAATATGGGACTTTTAATGAAAAATTAAAAAACCCTAATGGAGGCGATTCCATGCACTGTAAGTCTAACTTTGAAATAAAAGAAGAGTATAATTTTTAAAAAAAATGCAAACACACACTAATCAGTATATGGTGACATACAAGGAACAAAATTAGACATAACTCTAATGATAATGGAGCATAATGGTTATTTTTAATAGCGCACATAATGGAGGGACGTGCATGAGACTAGTTCCATTAGAAAGTTTTAATTTTCCATTTGAGGGCATAGTTTGGCTTTTTATAGAAAAGAACAAGGATTAAAATGGTCACAGTGATAGATAAGGGACTAAATTGGCCAAAACACCAAATATAAGGAATTAAAATGGCCATTTTCTTTTTTAAGTTAGGCAAAAAAGAACAAACTAAATAGCCACAATATAAACAATAGCATCCAAAATGTATTAATGAGAACCATTGTCAAAAGGAAAACTAAAAGCATCAACACATGAAAATTGTTATTTGATTTGTAGGCCAGACAATAGCTTCATCACCCATTCTAGTTCCAAGCTAAAGGACAACTGAGTCTAGCAACTCTAGGGAACATATTCCAGCTTTGTCCCCAGTGCTAAATCTGGTCCTATGCCAAATAAATGAAATCACACAAAGTTAGCAACCAACATAAATCAGTTAATAGTTCATATTCTCAATCATAGTATGTGTGTGTGTGTATATCTATATATATAATGTACTTTTGTATGTATGTGTATGTTGTACATATATGTGATGTGGCATTTTAAGCTTATAGTTCCAAAATATGTCGTCGACCCATAGCAAGTAATTCAATACCAAAACAATTGATCAATTGATCAAAAAGCACCAATTATAGAGCCTGGAACTCAAAATTAGGTGTTTGCAACAACCACGTACATACATACCCTTCAATCCAATACCAATTTGAGGAGATTTCCTTCCTTCAATCATGCAGGAATTCAAACTTTACCTTGATTCTCTATTGTGGCAAAAGTCTGAACTCCTCTCCGCGCCTTGAACTTCCTTGGTTTCTCACTTGTGCCTGTTGGCCTAGGTCTCAATGAGGTAATGGCAAAAACACATCTACAAGAAGATACGAATTATCTTACATTAGTTACTACCTCTAATAGCCCTCCTCCAATTTGGGCTCATAAAACTTATCCTTTCTGTAAGTCCATCCACCTAGCTATTGTATTCACGCCTCAAAAATTCAGGGGCCAGGGCATAACAACTTTTTTCAAGTCTTTGACAGAGACATACAATCAATAAAATTAACAAAAGAAAAGGGAGAAACATTAATATCACCCGTCATCATTAATTGTACAAATCAGCAGATTTGGAATTTTACAGTGTTATGAGCCTACACAAATGGAGAAATGGAGGAAAAAAATTACACCTTGCATCTAAAGTAAACTAAAACTTTAACTGCAGAAGTAAAATAAATAATTGGGAACTTAGTCAAGCTATTATTACACATTCTTCTATTCACCTGTTGAATTTCCGCTACACTATCACTATTAAACCTCTATATGACAAAAACTATTCTCGGCTTGAAGAACTCCACCAGAATAATGGCTAGTAGCTGTTATAGATGGTACAACCGTGACTCCTGATCTTTAAGCTTTCATGTGGCCATTTCCAAGGTGACTGTAAGTTGCTAACAAAACTTAACAAGCATATTTCAAGGCATCTTACTTTGTATCTGCCGATGGACATGTACTAGAAACTCAACGTATGACAGGCCACTCTGGATCTTGTCTTCTACCAAGTAGGAGAAGAACAACATTCCTGACAAATGAAAGCAACATAAAATAGGAAGAGCATGAGAATCCCAGGATAACCTCCAAAGAGAGGAACAACATGAATTCAAATATTCATGCCAACACATCAAGAACGCCTTTGGTCCTGGATTTGGCTAAAGTTCTTTGAACTTTCTGTGTATTTTTTTTTTTTTTTGGGTAAAACAATCATATGTTTTATAAGACAAAGATATAGTTAGCAGCTTCAAAGAAAAAAAAGCACAAAAATCAAAGTGTAGATGGTGAAAATAGGAAGAAAGGAAACTGGTATTCTGAAAAGAGGTTTTAGTGCTATACTAAGCAAATGCAACAGGCCAATCTTGGGAGAATCATGCCTCCTCTGCATGCACATGTTAGTCAGGCAAATACCACAAGACAAGCAAGTGAAAAGTTGCAAAGAAAGGCAACAGTAAGCGACTTGCAGTGGCAAAGGAAAATGGTGGAAAATGAATAAAAAAGTGTTCTTCAACGTTCTAAACATAACCTTCATTATTGGGATATCATTCTATATAAATGATGTAATGTCACTTTAATGGATTTCGACAATGGTCGTATAGTGTAAATTTACTTTCCCCTGAAATATGGAAAAAAGTAGGGATCCTACAGCGATGAATAAAATCCCCATAAAAATACCACTAGATCGAGCACCAAATGATTTCGCATCGGTCAATATCTTGGATAAGCATTTCACTGGTAATTTTGTGAATCAACTGTCACCTACTCTCTTAGATTTTAGCACATTCTCTTAGTTTTTAGCACATTCAGGGAATGTGCCTTGATCACTAATATCTATTCAAAACAAAAGACCGAATTACCAACCTGATGAGTCACCTTTCTTGCATAACCTCAAGCTGCATATTAAAGAAGCAATGAAAACATGATGAGAAACAGAAAGGTTCCATAAATCAATAGACAAAATACAAAATGCGTATTCTACACTGATGCAGAGCTTCCATGCAAGGGGGGAAAGGGCAGAGGCAGCCAGACAGAGTCGTACCGGAGATAGGAACACCTTTGGCGCCTTATCTCATTCATTACTTCATTTAGCTTCTTTGACAACGGATTGTCATACTGCTGCAGTACAAACTGAGAGCAAAAATGTTAATATTCGAAAACGTAAACAGACAGAAGCTATCTGAGTATAAACAGATAAATTAATACTCCATTCCAACTAGTGATAAGGGCACACCCAATGTGTATGCAATTTAAGAACAAACACTTTTTATATGGAAGAATTTAGTATAAAATTTTCATAAACCAAAAGATAAACTTTGATCTTTTAAAAGTTTTTTTAATAGAATTTTAACTAACTTAGTGGTTACAATGTTTGCGGGTGGTTATGGGTGAAAATTAGCTTTGGTTACATTGGTTGGCAATATGGACATCCTGTAATCAATGGTAAAGGTATACTTAAAAGTGATTGTGAGGATAAAGTTGGAAATCTAAAAAGTGACGAAAAAGTTTACACCAAACCCACTGCTCTCCCTTTATATATAGTATCGAAACATCAACTGCTTTCACTGCCCAAGAAATATAACCGATAGATGTTCTGGTGAACCTATTTCTAAAGTTCTATCAACCAAAACTTTGTAATATTAAAGTGATTGCAAGGGTAAAGTTGGAAATCTAAAAAGTGACGAAAAAATTTACACCAAACCCAATGCTCTCCCTTTATATATAGTATCGAAAACATCAACTGCTTCCACTGCCCAAGAAATATAACCGATAGATGTTCCGGTGAACCTATTTCTAAAGTTCTATCAACCAAAACTTTGTAATATCAAGCAAGCATATATGTACAGAAAAAATAAAAGAAGAGATAAGAAAAGATGGGAAGGGGGTGTAGTCTCAAAGCAAGTCAAACTACTGGCCAGAAAAAATTTAAGATGTCATTGAAAATGGTACCTGAGTAGGAACTTCATCAATGGATGAGAAGCCTAAAAGTTGTCGCATAACATCTTGATCAACGGTGGATCCAACGTAAATCAAGCAATCCTCACCATTCTCAAGAAGATAGATTCCATCGTCATTAATATGCTCACTGGAAAGTGGAATAGAAGGAGGAATCAGATCCTCTCCTGAATCCTGTCAGTTTGAGAACCAAGCAGTAATATTAGCATTAAAATAGGGATAATAAGAACACGAAGGGATATGCGGATCCATACCTTTGAGCCAAGATCATGAATAGCTATCATCCGTGGATAAACCAGAGGGATTGCCAGAAGAACAGAAAGAGGGGCAACATAATTTATCCAAAAGGATCTATCATCTACACGAGCATCAGTTCTTAACCCCACGCTTTTGATCAAAGCTGAAAAGAATGAAAAAACAAAATCACTCATCTAATCCAGATAAACACATTTTATGAGGTGTTCTCATTCAGCAAGACGGTGTTTCTTTCCTATAAACTGAATGCGAAGGTAGGTAAGGATGAGAAGAACAGCAAGAAGACAGAACGTGAAAACAAACATAGAAGTCATATCCAGAGCTCTGGCATTCTTTCTTCATCCATAAATTACAATTTTGTCTGGAATGCACTTCTGTTATTTTACAAGTCACAGCAACAGCCAAATTCATGGGTTAACACCCAAAGATTTGCTGCTTCAGATGTAAGGTTATTCAACTAGGGTTAATTAAGTGTTGCATTAGATCTTTATCCAGTTTTACATTTCCATCACCAGAAGATTTGCAAGTTGCTAAACCTGAAGTGGCATTACTTCAAAATAAATAAAAAGAATTAAAAAAAAAAAGATGCAGTACAAAACCACATATCCAAAAGCAAAACAGCTTAGGACATACCAAGCGTATACAGAGGCAATAATTTAAGTGCCTCAGGGAGAATGAGCTGTCCAGGAGATGTTACTGTGGCACAGAATTTACGGTATGAGTGCAGAATGTTGATACAAAGGTTTGTTACTTGCTCTCTTACTTGCACAAGTGGAGTAGAAGGAACTTCATTAGCCGCTGTGGACATAAAGAAACTCAGTCAGAACTAGCGCTAAAGGTATGAAAAGGAAGAAATAGAAAGCAAGAATGTGCTATGCTCTACCAAAGTCCTAAAAAAGGAAAATAGCAAGAAAGTTACTTCATTAATGACCAAACTAGGCATAAAAAAATTAGGAATGGCAAAAACCATGAGAAAAGAATGGCACATAATCTGCAATAAATCATATTACCTTGCTTCAACATACAACCAAATTGTGTATCCAAGTCTGCTGAGCGGAACAGATTGCTCAACATGTTTGTACATGGCAGAGACAAAGTCGAAATACGGATTCTTCTTTGACCATATACAGTTGTGTATAGAAGAGCAGACTGAAAGGAAAAAAAATCATTTAACAGAAAACAGCTGCTGCTTCAATTTTCTTCATTGGCAACAAAACAGCATTGGTGAAGACAGCAATAAACTTTCTTATTCTTTATGATAATTTCTAAACTTTAATTTTCAGAAAGTAAAAAATAAATTCTAATGATCAGGAATATATATATATATATATTTGCTTTTTCAAGATGATGTAGTTTTATGAAAACAAAGTGCTCCTAGAATAAATGTCTTCAGTCCCAGTACCTGAAAAGCACATTCAGAGCCATCCTGCAATTTGTCATCATGTTTTAAAGTTACCATGATTGTTTTGTCACAATCAATCTGCACCAAAAAAAACTCACTCAGGAAGGGAGCCGATCAGTCTATTATTCTACCACAATAGCCTAAATCTAATCCAAGCACAGATTCAGACGCAATAAGTAAAGGAAAAATTAGATGAAATACTTCTGCTGTAGTATAATACACCAAGGCACATCTAGACAAGTTTCATGAAGCAGCGTAATAAAAACCAGAGACATGAAAATGGTCAATTTAAAGCCCTACCCAATAAACCTATCTATAACACAGATTATGCTAGTCTGGATTATGGCAGTGAATACATGACTACAATGGGCTTCATCTCGTTTTGCTTCATCCTTTTCACAATCATTCAAAGAGGAGGGTTTTGGAAATACAGTTTGTTTGGATAGGAGTTTATTTGGATGATTTATTTGAGATAATTACTATAGCACTTTTTGTGATGTGATGTATGTGAGATAAAAAGGTGATTGAAATTTGTGAAGTAAATTTTTTTATTTCAAACCTTCCTAATCCAAACACACCCACTATTTAAAAATTGCCTTTGTTGGTTTGATTTTATAAGAAAGAGAAATGGCTATTAGCAAATATCAAGCAAACAAGAAAACCTGGCCACATAACCCTCACGAAATTCAAAAACAGTGCCCAACAAAATCATCATTGAAAACTAAACGTAGTTCTGGCAATTGAGTGAAAACCCAGAAAATATAAATCAGCCAT